CCTACCTGAATTTTCAAATGTAAATGTAGAAAAGTGACAAAGCACCATTGTCTTTCTTTGTACATAGTAAATTGTCCTTCTTGTCGCAGGACGTTTGTGGTTCATTTTTCTTATAGCGCTCCCATTCCATCTCTCTCTCTCTCTCTCTCTCTCTCTCTCCCCCATCAATGACTAATTTGTGCTAGGTTTTGGTTTTTTTGTTGTTGTTTGTTTTTTATTTATTTATTTGTTTGTTTGTTTGTTGATTTGTAAAAGACAGACCAAGAGAGAAATTGGAGGCCAGATCCCTTCTACTGACATAAGTCTTGGGTGTAGTTCCATTGTAGTCAATGTGGCTATGCCTCTTTACAGCAGCTGGGGTCTGGCTCTGTCTTTAAAGCCAGTGGGGAAGTTTTTTCCCCTGGTTTTAGGGGAATAATAAAGACCTCAAACAGTCATGCTGCTTCTCAGTGTCCTTACTTCTCTCTTATCATTGTTGATCATTGTTGTGTTCTGCTTGTTTTTCTTAATTTGCCTTTTTATTTTCCTTTTTATTTTTTATCCAGATCCCCCCACAACTATCCCTCCTCCCACAACAACCACCACCACCACCACCCCTACCACCATCACAGGTATGGTACCTTCATAACCATTGGAATGTGTTTTGTCTTTTATGTCTATAAACAGAATTTGAAGCCTGGGGGGGGGTGGGGAAATGACAAATTAATTTATTTTTCTTAACATACAATTCTTGTCCTGGTGTGTTATAATCCAAAGGCTCAGGGAGGTGGACAGTCTTACTGCAGATGTTCTTGGAACAGGGAACGGACATGACTAACAGTCCATTTAATCCAGGACTGGTGACTAATATCAGCTATTTCAAAAGAAGGTATAAACACCCCTGTAGCACATCTATATGGTGAGCAGATCTTAAATACCTTGCTCACCCCAGTTAATATCAATTACTGAGCAATTTCTGCCCACTAGCATGAATTTTATTGTTTGTAACTTTATCCAACCAGTATAAGTACAAATGCTATTAGTATTTGTAGATGTTGCAACTATTTCTGAATTTAATAAGTTAGCTACCTCAATATCCTGCAACAGTAATACCATCAACTAGCTCTCCTATATGAGCCCCCCTCCAGGCAATTTTGCATCTAATAATTAAAAAAAAATCTTTTCACCTATTTAAGTTGCATTTTAATTTTGAATTCCTGTTTTCCTGTATTTTGGGACAAGGTAAATAGGAAACCCCAACTTACCTTACTACGCCACTCATTATTTTACATGTATCCATCATATCCCCTTGCATACCCCTCCACAGTAACTAGATCTGTCTTCCCAAGCACTCCTCATAAGGGAGGCATTTCTGATGACTCCTGCTCAACTATGCCTCTGCTCATTTTCATTGCCATTTTCTGATTTTTTTTTTAATTTCAGCTCCTTTTTTTTTCTCTTGAGCAAGAGGTGACAAACTGACCACAATACTGGAGTTGAGAAAGTTGAGAAAGTACCATCAATTGCAGCGTAATATATTTATCTTTGACTACCACTGTGCCTTCACTTAGTCACCTTTAGCTCCCTGCTGTTCTTACACCCACTCCCCGGTGATTTTACAGCTAAATCAGAACTCACAGGTGTGGACAAGCAATTTAAAACCTTCCTTCCGATGTGCCTTAACATGCTCTTGGCCACAGTGTGTTTCATCTGCCATTGTATTGTTCAGATTTTCCATGTCACTGTCTTTCTCCTTCCAGGTTGTTAATAAATACCAATGAACTTCAGAACATGCTGGTATTAACTTTTCCCACATTGCAAGCTGGCCATTTATTTCAGTTCTTGTCTTTTTCACAACTTTTTATTCCATAGTGTATCTGAACCTCTCACCTCATTGTTTGAAAGTTTCTTTTGGAACCTTTTGTGGGGCATGTTTTTCTCAAATGTCTCTCAGTCTAAGGGAAAGACTGTTATACACTGTTTTCAAAGAACTTTAAATGCTCACAGGGGCTAACTTACCCTTACAGGATCCACGCTGCTTTGACCCTGTTACATTATATTCACATGGTGCTTTGTAACACTAATAATGTTCTCATCTTTTTACCTTGGAAATGAAGTAAGTATTGTGAGCATGTAATTTTTAGACTCTGTATAGAGGGGTACTCTACTGAGCTAGCTTTCCACACTTAGTATTGTAGTTGTTTCTAATAATAATGTACGTGTTTGTAGCTCAAACATTTCAATTGTTGCTACCATCAAAGACATCTCTGGTAACCTCCACGCTGATTCTACAGATTTTAATTCTCCAACTTCTCTCTTTGGGTGCTCTTAGCTTCCTCAATCTCTTAGTTAGCCGAAGGGTGGCTCTTTTTTTAATAAGTGTCCCTGGCTCTTGGTATAATTCCTCCTTAGTGGCTGTTGAACTTGATTACACAGGTTTGACCTCGCTGGTCTGGCACTCACAGGACCCGAGCTGTCCTGGACCAGGGGAGATCAGTGCTGCCCTGCTCTGGGTTCCTCTCCTTGGGGCTGCCTGCCCTGCCCCTGGCCCTGCTAACGCTGTCCCAGCATGGCTCCTTGCCTTGCTGCCCACACGCTACCCCAGAGTCTCCCGTGCTTCCTGGCAGGTACCGCTTGGCCACAGCTGGCCCCACTGCAAGCCAAGTTAAGCTATTTCAACTTCCGCTACGCAGTTGATGTAGCTGAAGTTACGTAGCTTAATTCAACTTGAACCCTGCTGTGTAGTCTGACCCCAAATGAAATGAATAGATAGCAGGTTTAGGCAAACAAAAGGAAGTACTTCTTCACGTAATACACAGTAAACCTGTGGAACTCCTTGCCAGAGGATGTTGTGATGTCCAGGACTTTATCAGGGTTCAAAAAAGAGCTAGATAAGTTCATGGAGGTCAGGTCCATCAATGGCTATTAGCCAGGATGGGTAGGAATGGTGTCCCGTCTCTCTTAGTCAGAAGGTGGGAATGGACGAAGGGGGGGCCATCTGTGACCTCTGGGGGCACCTGGCTTTGCCCACTGTTGACAGACAGGATGCTGTGCTAGATGGACCTTTGGTCTGACCCACTATGGCCGTTCTTACGTTCTAAGCAGTTACCACTTGAGATAGGCAGGGGACAGATTTATTCAGTAAGAAGAGGGGCCAGTTCTGAATAATTATGTATACATACAGTTATGTATGTGAATAATCACATGCACCACTGATTAAGCAGATGTCTACTCTGCTGTTTGTGCATCAAACTGGGTGCCCCTGCAGGAAACCTTTTCTGCTTAGCAGCCATGGGGAAAAGATCCCAGGGAATCTGGCTTCTAAAACAGAGTTAAAAAATGTTTCCTCACTGTGTATGCTTAGCCATAACCCTCAGCAATTAATCTGACTTGACCAGTGCAAATGGTGCCAGACTGTATTAGTAATGATGTGCTCTGTTCTGCTCTTACCCAGATTGTTGGGAACTTTCCTGTTGGCTGCGATGAGGGCAGAAACAGGCTTTTTTCTCCCAAATGCCTTGGTTTCAATATAGGCTTTCTGTCTGTTTCAGTCTCATTCCGCTGCTGGCCTCTCGGTTTGAGATTTGAGGCCATGTTACAGATGCACTTTCACCTCCTGATCCAGGAGTTATATCTTCTCTCAGCACAAAATGCCTTTGTGCTAATGAACGAGCTAGCACTGAGGCGTTGTTCAACTGAAATTGCTACTAGAACAACTTTGTCAAATCCCTCTCTTTGATGGATGTGATCTCGCAGAGCCGCTGTGTCTTAGCAAGCAGCTATATATGTATTTATCTTATCCTGAAGGCTCAATATCTGCACTCGTGGAATTTAACATTTGCTCCTCTTTCCAAATAGATTAAAGGTTACAGAACTGAACATTTTCAATCTCCATTTCTACAGAGACCAGTCTACTAAATTTAACTGGGAACCCAACTCTTGACAAATGGATATAAAAATTAATTTCCACTCTTCCCCCTGCATTGTTTAGTTCATTGCAGCCCCTGTTAACCTTAGAAACTGCAGCGGCCAAACACCGCTGAGTGAGTTCCTGCCAGTTTATACTGAAGGTTGTCTTCTTTGTAGGGAAGGCTTTGGTAACGGAAATCCATTTACAAACTGGCATCATTGCAAGAATTGCAGAGTAGTAGTAGTGTAGAAAGACGACTTAAAAGCCTCCGGAGAGAATACATACCTGCAAGTTTGATTGCCTCCAAATACTGAAATGTTCTCAGATAGCAAGGGAGGGCAGACTTACTGACCTTCCGAGCCAGGTATGATCTTCAGAAGTTTGAGGCCCACGGCGTGCCTGCCAAGACCTGGAGCTCCAGCCCTATAAGACACACTTGCCAGAGCTCAAGGCTTCAGCCTCCCTCCTGCCTGAAGCCCCAAGCCCTAGCAGGCACCTTCCATGGGGTTGAAATCCCAAGACCACCTTCCTAACAAGGCAGGAACCATGGGGTCTTCCTGGCCCCATTCTGCTAAGTGGAGAACTTCATGAGCCGTGTTTAAACTTCACAAGAACTGCGTGTGGCTCTCAGGACAACGTCTGGTCCCCTCGGCACGTAGTCCCCAGTACTGGTCATCGACTTTGTTCAGAGGCGGAAACCCCCAATCCAGGGGAGATTTTATCCCAATTATACTTCACCTTCTCTCCCTTCATTCTTCACACCGGCAGAGGGCACCCCCTGCTGGCATTGCCTGGAAGCCGAGGGCGGTTTCGTCTTCATAAGGAAAATGAGCCATGTCGGATAGAGTTTTCCTTTGCAGCGCTCTTGCTCTCTGCGTTTACACTGCACTGCTTACCACTGGCCCCTGGATCAGACCCTGACTCATTTTTTCTACTGTAAATAAGAATGGCCCTCTTGCTCTTAGACCCATGCAGTAGGTTCTTTAGCCGGAGTCTCCAGAGACAAACACCCATTTTAACTATTCCCATAATGCAAAATGTCTTAGGTGGTACACCAATGAGAGGAAGTCATGCTGTCTGCACCAGAAAGCCTGCATTGTTACAACAGATAATACATTTTGTTACAAAATAAAATCCCTGAGCAGTGCAACGTGTCCCCTTGCCAGCTAGCTACGGCCATCATCAGTCACGCTTCACCAGCTAGCTATGACGAGCCTTCATTGTCCAGTCTGCTTTCTGTCCATCAGACCCTCTTCTGCCTCGTCCCACCTCACCCCCACACACACCCCTTTGTATCACTCCTGATGTGACCGTGAAGGCTGCTAGCATGGACTTGACCTGAGCAGGTGTAATGAACTCTTAAAGCTGTTCTCTAGTGTTGGGAGAAGTTGCAGAGCTTCCCAAATAGCATAACTTTTAAACCATTTGCTCTCTCTGTGTTGCTTTGCTATTTCAGATTTATTGCATGGTAGTTTGATCTTTTCAGTATCTACACTGACCATCTTTTTCTGACCATCCTTTGGCATTTCAGCTGTTATCGCTGGCAAATCCTTTTTTATCATTTCGGATTGTCCTCTCGGCTTTGTTCATTAAGATATACAGTATGATATGGCAGAGCAAGCTGCATAATTTAAATTGCCCCTGGTGTCCTCACTTGAAATACTGGTTTTGGACAGCAGTTACGTCCTGGGAGATAAGAGTTCTTAATTAAAAAAAAAAATC